GGGTGGAAGATTGTGCCCTCCGCCTGAGACAATAGATCCCTCCTCAGAGGAATCGGCCATGGCGGAGCTATGAGGAGTGATATTATATCCGAGAACCATACTCGTGTCGGCCATCTCGGGGCAACCAGAAGTAGACTTATGCCCTCTTGACGGACCCTCTCCAGGACCCCTGGGAGCAGAGCGATCGGGGGGAAAGCATACAGGCGAAGCCTCGGCCAAGCCTGTACCATGGCATCCAACCCCAGCGGGGCTGGATGTGAGAGGGAGAACCAAAGTGGACAGTGGGACGTCTCTCGAGACGCAAACAGATCCACTTCCATCGGTCCGAACCTCTCCCATATCGACTTCACCACATCCGGATGAAGTCTCCATTCCCCGGGCCTCAGCCCCTGCCTCGACAAGATGTCTGCTCCCCGATTCTGAACCCCTGGGATATACATTGCCCTAATTGACAATATCTTTCCCTGGGACCAAAGGATAATCTGATGCGCCAGTTTGCACAGAGGGCGCGATCTGAGTCCCCCCTGTCGGTTCAGATAGGCCACCACTGACGTATTGTCTGTCCGTATAAGGACGTGGCGACCCTCGATGTCTGGGAGGAAGCTCCTCAAAGCCTTGAATACCGCCATCATCTCCAGGCAATTTATATGCCAAGTGCGATGATGGTCCTGCCACAGACCCCTGGTAAAGCGGCCGTCCATGACCGCGCCCCAGCCCGTAAGGGAGGCGTCTGTCGAAACGGTTTCCCGGCGACATGACACCCCCAACACTGGCCCTTGGGATAGGAACCAAGGCTTCTTCCATATTTGCAGAGACTGAAGGCACTTGCGCGTTACTCTGATCATACGGAACGGATTTCCTTTGGGTGAGAACCCCTTGGTCTTCAACCACCACTGGAGGGGCCTCATGTGAAGGAGGCCCAGAGGAATAATGTTGGATGCCGCTGCCATGAGGCCCAGCATCCTTTGAAAGTGTTTCACAGTGACGGCCTGACCTAGCCTCACCCTGGACACCATCGCCAGAATTGACTCGATACGTGCGGGAGACATACGTGCCTGCATTGTAATCGAGTTCCACACGACTCCCAAAAAGGTCGTGCCCTGGGACGGTTCTAGCACACTCTTCTTCAAATTGAGTCTTAACCCCAATTTTTGAATATGGCCAAGAACGACATCTCGATGCCGAACTGCCATCTCCCGAGACTGGGCCAAAATAAGCCAGTCGTCGAGATAATTCAATACGCGAATCCCCTGAAGTCTCAGTGGAGCAAGGGCCACGTCCATACACTTGGTAAATGTGCGGGGAGAGAGTGCTAGGCCGAACGGAAGAACCCGATATTGGTATGCTTCGCCCCCGAAAGCGAACCTCAGGTACCTCCTGTGACAAGGAAGGATGGAGATGTGAAAATAGGCGTCTTTCAGATCTATCGTGACAAACCAGTCCTCGGATCTGATTTGACTCACGATTGTTGGAATGGTCAACATTCTGAATTTGAACCTTCTCAGAGACCGGTTCAACACCCTGAGATCCAAAATTGGCCTTAACCCCCCATCCTTCTTTGGAACTATAAAGTACCGGCTGTAAAACCCGGACTCCCTGTCTACCGGAAGAACACGTTCTATGGCTCCTTTCGACAGCAGAGTCTGTACTTCTTGTTCCAACACATGAGCCTGCTCTGGGACCACCGCAGTGAGCACCACCCCAGAGAACTTGGGGGGCGGTGCGCGAACTGCAGTCTGTACCCAACTCGTATTATCTGCAGGACCCATGGAGATATGTTGGGAAGATGATACCATCCCTCTACAAAATCTGCTAAGGGTACCAGCCTCTCGAGGCTGGCCTCTGGTGTCTTTTCGCTGGAAATTGATGCGGCCCGAAGCGCTGTTAACGGCGGACCTGCATCTTTTCCTAGAGGGCCCCGTTGTGAGAACAACCTCGGTTGTCTCACTGCGGAGGGGGCAGCCCTCTGAAGTCCTGCCTTGGCTAGGACCTCTTTTCCGAAGTCCTCTTAGCCTGAATGACGTCCCTCAGGTCGCCCCTCTGGCTGGAGGACTTCGGTTTTTGGGAGCGTTTCCTCTGTTGCCAAGACCCCGGAGGGGGGCTCTAGAGGAAACGCTCTCCTTCTGCTCTGCCCTGTGGGAGGAGCTGGCTGATGGCTGGGGCTGATTGCTTTGCCCCCCCCTACTAGATTTGGCCTTCGCTTTCCGGGGGAGGTACTGCTGGAACGCCGCAGATTGTTTTCTCGACTCCTGAAACCTGTCGACAACCGAATTAACGGCGTCGCCGAACAGGCCAGAAGCCGAAAGCGGCGCATCCAGCAGGAAGGACCTATCCTTTTCTTTAATACCGGATAAGTTCAGCCACAGATGCCTCTCCGTGGCCACCATGGCCGCCATAGAGCGGCCAATAGCGCTGGCCGCTTCCCTAGTGGCCCGGAGAGACAAATCTGCGGCCTTCCTCAACTCCGCGACATCTTCAGGAGTAGGCCCCTCCCCCTCATCCAAATCTTTCAGGAGGTCGGCCTGGTATGCCTGCAAAATCGCCATTGAGTGCAGACACGAACCAGCCCGACCCGCCGCCATGTAAGCCCTGCCCACCAATGCAGATGTCTCTCTGCAGGGCTTACTAGGCAACACCGGGTTCTTTAGGGAAGACGCCGATTCGGGAGAGAGATAGCTCGCTAAAGCCTCCTCCACCTTCGGCATCCTCCCATATCCCATATCTCGAGCCCCCATAACATTGCTGTAATCTATTACATTGGGACTCGAAATACGGGACGAATGCGGTCTTTCCCACGTTCTCGAGATCTCTTTATGGAGATCAGGGAAAAACGGCAGACCCCGGCGGTGAGGCTGTGACCTGCGCTGCAGGTAACGCTCGTCCATTTTACTGGTGACTTGCGTTTCCTGCTCATGTTGTGGCCAGCTGATGTTTAGTCTGGCCACAGCGCGTGTCACAACCTCCACCAGCTCCTCATAACCCAGGCCGCGTGATGGCGTGCTGAGATCACGGTCGTCCGCATCGATGCTGAGCACGTCCCCTTCCTCAGAAGTAGACAGCTCAAGCACCGGGACCTGATCGCGGGTAGGAGAAACCGCAGCGCGGGCTCCCACACCACTCTCAGAGGCTGCGGGACCAGCCGATGGCGAGCGAGAAAATGCCTCAGCATTCTCACTCTCCTCCGCCAGATCCCGCTGCGAACCCCAGGATCTCAGTCGCCGCATCGCCTCGACATATGCGGGACCGGAACCCTGGGGAACGCGAGCCTGACCGTGCTCGTCAAAGCACGCCAGCCGGGAGCGCAGCACTCTAATAGGCAAAGCCTCACACATTTCACAAGCAGCCCCCTCGAGAGCTGCCCGTGCGTGCTGCACTCCCAAACAATACACACAGAGAGAGTGTGCGTCCCCACCCGTGATGAAACGAGGGCAGGGATGCACACACCTCTTGAATTGTTCACTGGCCATACTTTCTTTCAAAAATAAGACAAACAACACCAAATAAGACAGACAGTTTCAACATAAAGCGCTTGCTGAAGAGCGAAAAGCTAGTGTGTGTTGTGACAGCGTCACTTTTATACTTCCGGGTATGCCGTCACATGTTACGTCACGACGCAACACCAATCAGGATTGGATTAGTTTCATTCATACTTCAGAGGCGCACGCTTAGGGAGCGTCCCCAAAGAGTCGATTTTATCGACGCAGTGTTGAGTTCCCTCGATAGGGAACCAGAAACTGTCTGGTTACTGATATTCTTCTAAATATCAGAAAATCGGCTGAATGGATTCGAAAATGGTAAAAATCCAACTGTTTAACTCTGGGGGAGTTGTAAAATGAGCCTATTTCCAAAAAAAGTGGAGTATCCCTTTAAGTGTACTAGCGTGAGTTTTAAGAAAAATCATATTTAAATTATTCACATCAGAAGCATAAGAAGCATTCAAAGAACCCAAAATGTCATTTATATCACTTTGTGCAATTTCAGAAAAGTAAAATTGCTGAGATGCTGCTGGTACTGATGGGAGAAACTGAGGAACAATAAATCCAGAAGATAATTCTTGAACAGATGCAATAAAATACTCGTTGAAAAATTAGCGATTTTATTGGTGAGAAGAGTACCATTTATGGATAATTGTAAATTGTTATAATTATTATTTTTTTTTTCACCAGTTATAGATTTAATTGTTTTAAATGTTCTTGGGTTGGAAACCGTTCGATTAATCTGATTTTCAAAATATAGCTGTTTTGCTTTGAATAATTCAAAATTCACTTATTGCTGAACTGTGTGAAAATAAGCTTAGCCTCAGGTGTTTTTAATGATCTGTATGCTTTCAAAGAGGTGGCCTTCTTTTTTAAAAGCTGCAAAATGTCTGGAGTTACCCAAAGTATTGTATTTTGCCTGATATGTATTTTACAAGTAGTAGTACATTTTTGACGTATTGTCTCCACTCTTATGAAAATTTGACAGAACATGATCAGGATCTTGCAAATACAGTATCAGCACATTTCAGCATTAAACTGAGACAATTTTTGAATTTGGTACTTTTTTAATGTAGCTTTTTTTAAGAGATTTTGGCTGTTTAAGACATTTTCTAATGACACAGTGAATGATCTGAAACTGCTGTATTTATCACTCCAGATATACTATGCTTAGAAGATTGATTAGTGAAAATGAGGTCCAAATAGAATTTCGTGTTTTACCAAATCTGGTGGGATCTTTGATTAATTGATGAAGACTATGTTTTATGGCAGTTGCTTTCAAAATTTTAGATGAATTATCGATCCAATTCAAATTAATTTCACTTCCACTGATATAACAACATATTTTCTTCCATGAATGGATAAGTTTGGTTTGGTTTTGTCAACTTGAAACTAATCCCTTAAGCCTTTGTTACAGAGTTTGTTCAACTATCATCATGGTGTGGGCCCCTTGCAACCCTGGTCACTGTGTTTAAACTTTTTTTTTGGCACACCAATCAACAAAGACTGTCCAGCCTGACTTACCGTGGTAGAATTAAATTCTGGTGGATGGGTGTTGGCATCTCTGATGTCCAGAAAAACAGTTCCAGTTGAAGACATTGCAGGTGTCCCTTTATCCTTCACTTCAACTAGTATTTCATATGTTTTTGCAATCTAAAATTCAAGAGACAGAGATCAAAAATGCTGAAAAATGCTCAAAACATGCCTTTTCATTAGTTACTCACATCATAGTCAAAGCATCCCGTGAAGACGAGCTGTTTGATTTTAGGGGTCCCAGGTATGTCCTTCAGGGAAATTTTTGGTAATGCAGGTTCTTGTGACACCAGCCTCATGGTGAACTGGGAATTAGGAGTATCCACCTGATCTTTGTCATGAGCTTGAATTGCTCCATGCAGAATGCCTGTTCAAAGTCAAACAATGATGATTAAAAAGTGAACATACTCTATCTATGCTTGGCATTTAATGCTAACAGTTTAGTTTCAATAACTGCTCCTTTATGAACTGGGGAGGACATTTTGACTTTTAAAGGAGCATTTCACCCATTTCAACATTAATCTTTATTGAAAGTGGATGATCATATATGTAGTCGAAATGTAAAAGAATTTTTAAATTTGGTGCCCTCTTGACCGAGTAAAGACAGAAAATAACCGAGGGGCGCATTTGTATGTAAGACAACAAGTCCCACAATGCACCACACTGCACAGCTCCGCAAGCCACACCCATTAATCCGGAACTGCGCACACATCAGAGAAATCACTCTTCCGTCTACAAGGCTAACATTAGCTGTCACCAGAGTTTGAAATTCATTTCACACAAAATTTCTATTTAGTTGGCTGTGGCGAGCAGGGCAATCGAGGGCGAGGGATGTAAAGAGGACAGCACAAGGCCGGTGGGTGTGAGTTATATAATGAAAGACACCTGTGTGAGACACACCGGTCTCACGTCTCTCGCGGTGGAGCAAAAGCATAAAATGAGGAGCGATGACGGCAGATCGAGATAGAAACAGGCCTGATTTTATGATGCGTTTTGTTTCTGTTGTGTATAAAGCCCGGAACACACCAAGCCGACGCCGACAAACTAGCGCTGATGAAAGCCGACTGTGTTGTCGCCTCTCGTCCGCTCTCGTCGGGGGGAAAAGCTGCATTTGAACACACAGAGAGAACTGCAGCCGACGGTCAGCTAGAATGTGAGTTCTGCGCCTGCATGTAAATGAGACAACTGTCTATTTCTGCAGATATATTAGTCTATATTAGTCATTCAAAAATGAAAAACTACGCTGCCGGCTGCAGATACACATACAGTAAACAAAGCAGCATGTGCTTACCGTTTTGAATATCAATCCTGCTAAACGCTTTCTTTATTCCACTCCGATCGTGTTAATATTGAAATTTCGCCAAGAAACACTCAGGTGAGATGACGTAACATAAGAACAGCCTTCTATCTTTACCGATTTGACTTCTTTGCTTGCTGTTTTGCTTTTAGTCTCGTGCACTGACTTTCACTAAGCTGAACAGCCAATCAGAGTTCTCTCTTTCCCCAACGGCCCGACGTCGATTCAACATGTCGAATCGGGCAAAACAAAGCCTTCTATTTTCCTAAAATAGCCTAAACTATATTCAGCCAACGGCACGGAACCGTGCGGAACACACCGAGGAAACTTAGTCGGCCGATGCACAAAAACTGGCGGTCCGACCCAGCTCGAGCCAGTCCGGGCTACTCGACTGAGAGCACAAGCACAGAAGTCCGCCTCAGCTCGAGCCAGTCCGGGCTCCTCGACCGCGGTTCCTCCATCAGCCTCAGCTGCTCTTCACTATACTGCGGCTTGTAAAGACAGCCACAAACATCGGATTCGAGCAGCAGAATTTCAAAATCCTCTTCTTCCATTTAATGTTTGGTTTCTTCCGTCATTATCATACTTCCTATCTCCACAGCGCTTGTTAGCTTAGCTTCCAAACAAGATGGCGGATATTGATTCAGTATCTGCAAGTGAAGTCCCACTCACTGATCTGTACTAGGCCTGTAGGGTGAGTGGGTTCCACATCCTTGAATAATAATGAGCTAATGTTTGTAGTCTCTACACTTTTCAATGAAATGTGACTTCCTGCTTATTATGACGCAAAATGACGATTTTTACGTCATAATAAGCAGGTAAAGTAAAAAACACTTAAAAACACTTTTTACTTTTGTTTTACTTAAAGTAAAACACTTAAATTAATTTCTCCCATCTCAGGGGAAAATAAGGGAATAAACTATGACCATTCAAAAATATGACTGGGTTTCTAAAGATACAAAGCTTAATGCAAATGGGTGAAGTGTCCCTTTAAGTCATTGTCTTCAGTTGCAAATATCAGTGAATTATTTTTATCTGAAATGAAAAGATCAAGAACTATAAAGGTCTATAAAGTAAAGTCTGACAGAAAATCCTCATTGGCCAGCAAAATAGTTTTCCCCCACAATCACGCCGTAGGTTTAATCCGTGTGGTTGTTGTATTGAGCTGGTCTGGATGCTCAAACAAATAGAGCAATGTTCTGTCTATGTTTACACTTGTCAGGAGAAGTCACCTTACAAATGGCTAACTTATAAAAGTTTCTTTACAGGAAGCATTTTAACAGAAAAAATATATGCATATATGCAGTAATACGTGTTCTCTGAACCTTCAGGAGTGTTCTCCTGAACTGTTATACGGATAGTTTCCAGCGGGAACTCGGGTCTGTTGTCATTCACGTCCTTTATTTCCACGTTGAATGACAGCGTTTTGTCCAACTCTTTTCCAGTCTGCCTGTCCAGCACGTCAAAGTCCATCTACAAAAGAATCAAAATGTCACTTTGAACTACATCAACATAAACTAAATCAGTCCATTCTTTGAGGTCTGCTGTATTATTTTGATATAATTAGTGTCATATTAAATCCTGTCTTGAAATCTTACATGGAAGATGGGATTAATTTCCCGGTCGATGGGCCGGTGTACGAATACAACCCCAGTGTTTTCGTTAATGGAAAACAAACCAAATGGCTCTCTTGTCACCCCGTCTCCTTGGAGGCGGAACTTGACGGAGTTGCCCTCCTTTTTGTCATTGAACAGCTATACCAATTAAAAAATAAATAAATAATAATTAGATTCATGTACCATTTATGATTATGTATTTGTTGACTTTTTAGCCAAAACATGCATTATTCAAAATAAATTCATTTTTAATTCATGCAGACTAAAATAAAAACAGATATTCTGACACGGCACATTTCAGAATAACTTGTCAGAGAAACAAGTTTGTATGCTAAGCATGCTTCCTAAATATCTGCAAACATATATGGTATTTTTATGCTTTAGTACAGTCAAATACATGGAGTTGTATGGCTTTTAGTTCATGTCTGAAAGGTTTAGGGTCATGTATAGTATTAGCATTAGGATCAGTAGAAACTTCCAGCTGAGTGTGTTTGGGCTAAACTGTGCAGGAAATTGGCCCTCCCGGAGTACGATTGGACACCCTTGCTCAACTCCTTCTAATAGCATCAGCAAGTAGCATATTCATGTGCTGTAACTAAAGCCTGTGGGCTGTATATTGTAGGCTTGAAAATAAACAAAGACATAAAAAAGGCGATGTAAAAACATTAGTAAAAATTTTTGCATCACTATAAGTGTAGGCTATTGTGGTTTTCAAAAGAAACTATACATACTTTTATTAAGTTTAGTGACAGCATGGTGCAATAATTGGTATGGGCTACAGCTTTTTATTATTGCTTGATACAAATTTTACAATTTCAATTTAATTCTTGTGGTTTTATTCCGATCTTGATTCAATTTGGACACATAAGCACCAAGACACCTGCCCTGTTCTCCTCTGGTTCTCCTCACACCACAACTCAATTTGTCTCTGATTGTTCTGTCTAACATTCATCCTGACATATCCCTGCTCTCTAGGCAGCATAGCAGGGTTATAATTGTATGGCTGTGGTCCGTCATACGAGTAAGTATGAACAATTTCCTCAGCGTCCGAAATGTCCATTGATCCATTGTTTTCCTGTTGTTTGAATCGACCGCTCTCCCGCCTGTTACGTCACAGCCACCAAATTATGAAAATACAAAAAAACTTCCAAACCTATCTAAGGGTAAAAATTTCATGGATGTTCAACAAATAAAAAAAACAGATATAAAACAATTGAGCAAATGGGTTGCTAAAAGCACTTACTATTAATGACATGATTACAGATAATAACCTAGATTACAGATAATAACCTAGATGTGCTGTGTTTGACAGAAACCTAGCTAAAACTAATCAATTAATTTATCCACCCCACCCCAGATAGCAACATTGTTTCGGCCCAGAACCGGCGCACATCTGACACTTGTGGAATACTAATCTGGCCCACATGCAGCGTGGAATGGTGGCCCTTGGGTGGACCACTAATGTTTGCCAGAACTGGGCCACAAGCAGGCCATAGCAATGTCACATATCAGCCAAGAGCAAAGAAATAAACCAGAACTGGACCTTATCGGAGCCACAAAATCTGTGCATATTCAATATGGAGTCATCTCAGCCTTAATAAGCCTGTTAACAAGCAGAATAACTGAAGACGAGAACATAAAAAGAGATGAGCAGAAACACAAGACCTACAAATGACTTCAGAAACAGCCTTAGATGAAATCCAATGAATATAAAAGAAAATATAAAATCTCTAAAGATCTCAGCAGAGGAGGATTAAACAACTCAACAATAATCGGCTTCACTTACTAACCAGACTGACTTTATTTCTGTCTGACGTCTACAAAAGGTTTTATTGAGAATTAACAGGAGTTTAACTATGTGTTTCATTTGAATTCACCATGACAGTGATTAGTTTTTTCATTACTTATAATCTTTTTTGGCTGCTATTACAGTGTGTTTATCAAACACATTTATAGTAGCAAAGAAAGCTAAAGTGGAATGAAATCAGGTGATTATGGTTATTAGAAATCACAAACCCTGAGATCCAGCAATACTACAACAATCAGTTACAATCTTTTAACAAACATGAGCTCTAAAAACGAAACCTACGTTTGACACACACAGATATCAACAATCATCACACGAGTCTCAATAATGTCAAGTCAAGTCAAGTCACATTTATTTATATAGCGCTTTTTACAATACAGATTGTATCAAAGCAGCTTCACAGTGATAACATATGTGATAACACAGTGATAATACAACACCTCTAGATCAATAATATTGTTGAATATTAAATGTCCCAAACTAAGCAAGCCAAAAGCAAGGCAACAGTGGCAAGAAACCAAAACTCCATCAGGTGATTGGATGGAGAAAAAAACCTTGGGAGAACCCAGGCTCAGTCGGGGGCCAGTTCTCCTCTGGCTAACATTCATATTGTTTCAAAGCATGGCGACAATCAAAAATATTTATATAAACAGATCAATTCAAAACATCATCGAAAAGCTACTAAGTCACAACAAAAACAACAGCAAAAAATAAAAGCAACAATTTAGCTTTAAACAAAATAATATATAGCGCGTCAAATTCGTGCCTGACGTGTCTAGTTTGACGCTGGACCACTTTGTGTTAATTCATGTAAAAACAAAAGTTTGAAGCGAAATTTACGCACGTGAAATTTACGCATCCGTTGGCGGCCATTGTTTTTATGTCAACCGAGCATTCATCAAGAGCGTTTACCGCTCTGTATTTACTCTGGAGAGCAGAACAGCGGCGTGGGGATCATCGTCGCCGTATATTTGTGTCCACCAGACCCTTCGGAGGTGAACCGTTTGGCAAGTTTCACCATTTGCTCGCTCCAGGAGCTGCGCTTGATGAAGGCTGCTGTCAGCGGTACTTCCGCCTGTGACGTGTCCAGTTTGATGACCTGTTGTCCTGCATTGGAGCGAGGATCACCCTCGCCTTCATCCATATAATCTAGCTGTCATTTATTTTTGTTTTGATGATAAATAGAGCCAGCCTTCAAAAGTTATTAACCTGTCCTGTGAATATTTTATCTCTCACGTCCAGACACGAACTTATGCATATGTATGTTGGTTGTCTTTACATCATAATACTATTTCATATGATCTAGATATGGAATGAATAACATTCAATACAAAATGAACATGACTCGTATATTGAAATAAAGTTTTAAAGCGGACATGTCATGCAAAATCCACTTTTTTAGCCCTTAAATGTATTTTGTTGTATATTTGGAGTGTTTATAAGTACAGAAAAGATTAAATTTTTCTCTTCATGTGCTTCGTTTATATCTTTATATTCTGTTTTGGCCATATATTTTTCAACCTGTTCAGATTTTTCTGTTATCTATGACGTTTTTTGAACTACAACGTCACCGTATTTGCAGCGGAACTGCCAAATAAGGACATTGACTACAGGTCCAAAACTTCTAGCAATCCGCCATTATTATTTCTCGCTCCGATTTTGTAGTCCGAGCTCAATGATGCAGAAGTTACGAGAGGGCAAGTCAAAATGTTCGGTTTTTGGATGTAGTGACCTGAAGCACTTCAAGGATTCCCACTTCAACAACCTCCGCCAGTAACATTATACAGAAGGGTTTGCCGATTGACTTCGTCTGAATGAGAGGTAAATTCCTTCTATCTTTGGAGACGACGAACAGAGCATTTCGATAAGCTGAAAATATCGTTAATAAATACTTTCTTAAAACACATGGTGGTCATGGTTTAGCAGTACCTTTGTCTTTCTTTATTTTTGTTTTGAAGTAACGTTACACGTCTGCAGTATTATTGTTCTTGAGTTTCATCAATTGTCATTTAGCTGCTTTTCTGATGCTTTTCTAAACGTATCATATTATCAATACAGATTGTGATACAATACAAGCATTGGAGTTATGTTTTATATAGACCACAACGGTATGATTTATATGTAAAAATTAATGATTTAAAAGAATGATATATACCCTTTAAGAGATAAAATATTTGCTTTGTTGTGCATAATCTCACCATGCATTTAGTCATGTTACAAAATAATTTATTGAAGCATCCAGACACTTCACCACGTGAGCAAGCAGCTAGGCTCCTGATTGGTTAACGCGGCGCGAATTGACGCCAAAGTTCAGATTTTTCATCTCGGGCGGCAGACGCGAATTCGCGTCAAACGCGTGAATGCACAAATAGCACTAAATCATTCACGCGTAACGCGCCAGACGCTCAATTTGCGCCATTCACGCGAATGAGGCGTATTTGCGACTTCCGCTCCGCGCTCTACGCCTCATTCGCGCCGCAGGAATTTTTACGTGCATAACGTCTTTGCATTGACTTAACATTGAAATCATTCACGCCGGACTCGCTATTCGCGTCTGGTGTGAATGCATCATTAAGAGTCCAAATAATGGAAACACTAATCACTATGGTGAGTTAAAACTCTAACACGGCTCGACAACAGAACCAGAAGACAATACAATGCTGAATAAAGTCATATGCTGCGTCCCAATTCACTTACTTATACTACACCCTAAAAGTATGTACTCTTTTTGTGAAGAAAAAGTACATTGTTTTGAGTGTGTAGCAAAAGAGTAGGCAAGTTTATTAACACTTTTAACTCGTGTTTGTAGTTCTAACCGAATCCTCGTCCACCTCGCAATGGTTTGTGGGCAATATCAGCCGTTAGAGTGTGCATCGATCTACACTTCGGATTCTGACCAGATATAAAAGACCATCCGGGTATCTTTGAAACATTAATTTCAACATACTACGATTTGGAACGTAGTATGTTGAATTCTATGTAGTATGTTTACTAATTCTATTTTCGAATACTATTTAGGACGGATAGTATGCGAATTGGGACGGCGCAATAGTTTTTGTTATTTTTGGACCAAAATGTATTTGCTTCAAAATGCTTCAAAAATTCTAACTAACCCACTGATGTCACATGGACTACTTTGATGATGTCTCTATTTTCTTTTCTGGACAAGGACAGTATACCGTACATACATTTTCAATGGAGGGACAAAAAACTCTCTGACTAAATATAAAATATCTTAAACTGTGTTCATAAGATGAACGGAGGTCTTACGGGCATGGGACGACATGAGGGCGAGTCATTAATGACATAGGCTGTGCAGGCCCGGTTCTAC